AAACATGGACCTGTTCCCACAGACCCAGAACACTCTGAGTCCTTTAGACAGAATCTAGATTTAGAATATATGCGGCCAGCGGCTCTCTGATGAGGACACCAAGCTTCAGACAGCTTCACATCCCCATTAAAAGACCAGACCCTGGAGGCTTTAGAAAGGAAAAGAAAGCTGGATACCAGGACAGTGGTGGATTCACCTCCATTATTAACCCCTACATAGGTTGGGGACCCCTGGAATGACCTGCTCCAGAACAGGAACCAGGACGTGTTTGCATGAGGCAGAACGACAGCAAATGTGGTTTTAGTCCAAATCAAAGAGCTGAGAGCAGCTGCTGGGTGAACCAGCCCCAGAGGACCCTGCTGGGACGGGGGGGTGATGTGGGGGTGGTCCGGTGTCAGGCCGGGGGGGGGCAGGCAGCTTACCGGGGGCTGGTTGAGCAGGTATCTGCACAGCTCCCCTATGTACTGCACCACCGTCACGTCGTGCCTCACACAGTCCTTCCAGAAGTGTCTGGCAGAGAACTTCCTCCTCAGCACACAGGTGGCACCTACAGGTGAGACAAGGGGGGGGGCAGTGAGAGGGTTCCCTCCTTTGTTCTTCAGGATGAGATGGAGTGGAGGAGGTCTGGCCTGAGGTCCAGGACCAAACACAGACCAGCTAAACGCAGTCCCAATGAACCGAAATGAGCCGGAACCAACAGAAGCCGGATCATCTGGATCGGGAACTAAGCAAAGCCCTTTTCATTTTCCTCATTTCCATCCTGAATCTGGACTTTGGCACATGGGAACAGGCTCTCTCCTCTCCTCTGTGAGTCCAGCTAAAGGCCGGCCGGCTGAGGCTAAACTCACCCAGATGGATGCAGCCCCCCACCCCCAGCAGGGAGGCCGACATGTGGTAGAGGGGCAGCGTGATGTAGACCACGTCCTCACACGTGGCTCCACACAGGTCCAGGAAGGCCATGCTGCCCAGGGCCTTCAGGTGGCCCACGCGGGCCGCCTTGGAGAGGCCTGATGGAGGAAGGAGCCTTTACAAGCCTATACAAGCCCCCAAAACACACTACAAATCCCATCATGCACTGCAGAGGCTGTCAAGTCTGCTCATGTTTAAACGCTAACCAGGACACGTTAAAAAAACTGAGAGCTGAAAATATACTAAAGGAGGAGAAGTTAACTCCTGTATCCATCCTGAGAATCCCCACTCAGAACCCCAAACATAAACCAAGAAAGGACTAAATAGTACAAGAAAATCTAATGTTATTATTTAACTTTAAATGACTGTTTTTATTTATATTTTCAGTTTTTTTGTATCCCAGCATGTACAGATTTTGAATGGATATACTATTGACAGGATTATGAAGAGCAAAATAGAAGTTAATAATTGAAGTTCAAATGCATTTATTTTGGAACAATATCCTGCATTTTTATTCATATTAATGGTTAAAACATAAATATTTAGTCTATTCAATAAATGTTTGTACTGTTCGACATTAAGTCTGCTTTGAGTTTGACCCCCTGTAGATATGAGCCCTCATGGCTCACCATTGGGGGGCAACCAATGCACCCACCTAATAACCCCCCCTGATGTGTCCATAAGACACCCCCCCCCCCCACACACACACACACCTGTGGTGCCTGAGGTGAAAATGAACAGGAAGTTGGACATGACGTCCACCTCGGGGACGGGGGGGGTCTGCGGGGGGGTCCTCCAGCTTGTCCAGCAGAGTGTGGAAGTCCTCCGTGGGGGCGGAGTGGGCCACCACCCACAGCCCGGTGCCGGCCCCCCTCAGCCCGGGCAGCGCCTCCACCACCGGCTCCACCAGATCTGCGCACAGCAGCGCGTCACGACCCCAGCGCGCATGCGCACCCAGCGACACCCTCCCGAAGCCCACCCGTGAGAAACTGGCACCCGTGAGAACCCCCCGCCACCACCAGCCCCCCAGCCTGTGAACCCTTTGAGGCGGAGGATTCAGACCTGCTCCAGAGATCTCAGGGTCTGGGGGCCCGTGGGGCTCCAGCCTGAACCCCCGGACCCAGCCCGGACCCCGGATCCAGCCTGAACCCAGCTCTTAACCCCCGGACCCAGCCCGGACCCCGGATCCAGCCTGAACCCAGCTCTTAACCCCCGGACCCCGGATCCAGCCTGAACCCAGCTCTTAACCCCCGGACCCCGGCCCGGATCCCCGGCTCCGCCCCGCCCCCCGCCCGGCCCCAGCCCCCGGGCCCGCGCGGCTCCTACCTGCCCCCACCAGCAGGACCCGGGCCGCGCACGCCCGGACGCAGTGCAGCAGCGGCCCGGCTCTGAGGTTGGTGTTGAGGAAGGCCACCTGGCAGCCCAGCCGGCTCAGCCCCAGCCACGCGCACACGAAGTCCGGCTCGTTGCTCATGAGCAGAGCCACGACGTGGCCCGGCTCCAGGCGGGCGCGCGCCCGCAGCGCGGCCGCGAACTGCCGGCTCCTCCGGTCCACGTCCCGGTAGCTGAGGCTCCGCTCCCCGCAGATGAGGAAGGCCTTGTGGGGGCTGCGCCGGGCCTGGAGGAGGAAGCAGTCCAGCAGGGTCCGGACCCCGCGCCCCATGCGGGTCCGCACCGTCCTCTGGACCCCCCTGAGCCGCAGGTAGTGGCGCAGGTCCGGCCAGAGGAGGGGCCAGCAGGCCCTCTGCAGGACCAGCAGGGCCAGCAGCCCCGCCAGCACGCTGCCCGCGCACACGCACAGCATCTCAGCACGGACTCCCACTCAGGAAACTTCCCAAACTCTGGGAACGGGCTGCGACTGCGCATGCGTGCAGGAAGGGGGCAGCCTGCAAGCCCCGTCAAGTTTACAGCCCCCCCCCTTCCTCACTATTAGTTAGAGCTGCAGACTGGAACAATGACTGGGACCTTCTGAAGGTTCTTGTTGGCTCCAGATAGTTTTTGGGGGTTTTGTAGAGAAGAGGTTTTAATACATGCAACCTTAAGAAAAGTCTTTATAAGTATTTACATGTATTTACACCTATTTTTATTTGGAAAGCTGTTTTGCTAGTGTGAGTGTGTGTGGTTGTTGGTCCTTGTGTGTCTCTGTGTGTCCCTGTGATGGACTGGGCACCATCCAGGGTGACCCCGCCTCTCCCCATTGGATACTGGGATAGGCTCCGCCCCCACGACCCCATTAGGGGACAAGGGGCCCAGATAATGGATGCATGGATGCTCTACTTAACCCCAAAAGATCCATTTCAGACTGTGAAAAGGTGGGAGACCATGTTTTTACAAGGAAACATTCCTTTTTCTGATTGGAGGCTCCACGTTGGCCCCCCAGTCTGACCCCCCCAGCCTGGAGCTCTGCTCATGTGTATAGGCTGAATCCAACATGTTGGAGATGGACTAAGGCCTCAGCCCCCCCCCCCCCCCCTCCCCCCAGGCTCCAGCAGGACCAGTCCACAGACTCACAAAGACTCAGTGACGTCATCAGAAGGAACTTTATTTCAAAGCAAATGTGCAAAAAGAAGAAAAGGCAAATACAAAACAAAGCAGAGGCGAGTAGGGCTGCAGCTCATCTCACTACAGGGGAATAAACTATGTACATCATTTACAGACAAAACAGTAAACTGGCTCAGAATGGATGTTTTAGGCCACTGAGAACACAAGAAGGGCAAAAAGAAAAAGCCTTTTACAGAGAACCTGTTTTGTTGACTGACTGTTACAAACAATGGAAGGTGATCCTGTTGTGGGATGATCTGTTCTGATTAAACGTCAGATTCTTTAGACCCGCTGAGCCTTTTGACCGGCGTCACAGAGACCAAACAGATGCTGATTTCAGCCTCTGAAACGGCCCGGAGAACCAATTCAAAGAAGTTATTGAGCATTTCTCTTTTTTTTTGTCGTAATTTGGATTCGATTTACATATCTACAATCACAGGTCCAACAGGAAATGCTGCAGCAGGAACAGGATGGAAACAAAAGCTGCTTATGTTTGGCTTTAGTTAAATCTGGTTTTTGCTTATAGGGTCGTTATCCTGTCAGAGTAAAAGCTAATAGTCAGAAAAATGGCTTTCCGTTGCCTCTGTAGAGGTTTGTCCACACGTCCTCCTCAAGCTACAGATGTTTAAGAAAATAAGCTTCAAATCACACATTAAACACTTTATTTATGATGATCCTATAATATTTCACTGAAACATAAAGATAACATATTAATATACCAATAAGACAAAGTAGTGCTTTACTGGTGGGATTATAAAACACATCGACTGAAGTGAGCCGGGCAGAAGTTTGGCTGGAACAGAGACGGGCTCTGACTGAACGGGGGGGGGGGGGTAAATAGGGTGATAGTTGGAGGCTGGCTGGAAGAACACACAGAAATAAAAAGGAGTTGGTTTTCATAAAGAGTCCACATGTTGCCCCCCCAAGCCCCAAAAACAGGCATGTTGCCCCCCAGAACTAAACCAACAGCAGGAGAGAGAGTGAGTGGTTGGTTGGTTGGTTGTCTCTGTGTGCCTGTGATTGGCTGGACGGGAGCAGGGTGGAGCCCCCTCGCACCACTAAGCTAGCTCCACCCCGACCCCCCCGGGGATCAGCAGTATGGGGGATTCAACACACAGACGCAGCTCTGAAGGGGCTCCAGCTCTTTTCCTTTAACATGAAGCCAGCCCCCCCCCCACCACCAGGGACGGATGTCTGGGGGCCTGTCGGCTGCTGCTCCCTCTAAGATGCTTGTTTAATTCCGAGTGGTATTTAAAAAACCTGAACACTAGCTAAATCCAGCGGCAGAGTCCAGGATTCCAGAAGGCAGATGAGCGGGTAGCTGTGGGTCTGAAGGGGTTCCTGCTGACCCCCAGGAGGATCCTGGTCTCAGTCCTGAGCCTCTGTCCGCTCACTGTCCAGCTCCAGCAGCTCAGAGGACGGGCTCTCTCTGGCCGGCAGGATGTCGTAGTGACTGGGGATGTGGCTGTTTTTGGGCAGGTCGTACAGATCCTGTCCAGGCTGGGGGGGGGCTGCAGCCGTCCTCAGAGGGCTGGGGGCTGCTCACAGAGGGCTCTGAAATCAAAGGCACGTCCCATTTCATCAGGTAAGGGTTTCAGAGCATTCAACCCCATTCAAATGCACTGTGACTGCTCAGTGTGATGACTCCATGTTAGGGTTAGGGTTAGGGTTAGGGTTCCAGCTCTGAAACCAGGACCCCTGAGAGTCCTGGGGTGTCTGAGACACTGATGTATGCTGAGGACCTTTGGGCCCTTCTGAATCTGTCTAACCTACAGGACAAGATTTCCACATGCACTTTAACTATAATTACTCCCTTTAGCATCGTATGCTATCACATAATCCATGTCAATAACTGATTGTCTTATTCCCTTTAGAACTAGACTTTTGAGTAAACTCTCTGGCTGAGCCCACAGATTCTCTTTTCTCTCTTTCTCTCTCTGTTTCAGTAGATTCTTGTCTTCAGGTCAACACACACACACACACACACACTCTGTTAGCACATTCCAGTGTCATCTGCATGAATTAGGACCTGGCCTGTTCATGTCAGAGCTAACTGACCAATAGCACCCGGTTGGGTCCAGTCCTCCTTTTCTAAGGGGCAGAACCAGCCCAGAAGATAATTACCCATCACACCCAGAGTTCTGGGCTCTGGCTGACCGAGACCCAGATAGTTTCTTGTATGTTAGAGCCCAGTTGGTTTACTTTATCTGTGACCCAATAAATGTCGTGTTTGTCCTCTTGATCTACTCGTTTACTCTCAGGTTTCCAGCTAAAGAATGGGGCTAATGTGCGCCCCCCCCCCCCGGTCCCGGGCCAGAGCTAAAGCTGCTCCTCACCGACTTCGTAGAGGTTGCGGCTGGGGGGGGGGGCTGCTGTTGCTGATCTCGGCGTAGGCGGACTCCCTCCTGGCGGGGGACTTCATTTCCACGTAGCCACACTCGATGTTCCTGGCGGTGAGCTGGGGGGGGGTCCTTAATGGTGGCGTAGGGGTTCTCGGAGCTGCTGAGGGAGCAGGAGCTGCCGTGGTAGGCCCCCCCCTTCCCCAGGTCTGAGGACCACAGCCAGGAGCCCCCTAACCCCCGCCCCCCCCAACCCCAGAGCCCCCGCGGCCGTCTGCAGCCTCACCTCGAACAGACGCCCCCCCGTAGCCGCCGTCAGCCCCGTAGGCTCCTGCATGGGGGGGGGGGGGGGGGAGGGGGGGCGTTAACCCTGGCTCAGGTAGATGTAGGGGCTCCAGCATCCTTACACTCTTTAGACTCTTTAGATCCAGCTTTATTTATCCCTTGGAATCACTCCTTCAGGAGATTCTGATTTCAGTACCGCCCGTCCCAGATCAGACCCAAACAGACACATAGACACACATGTCCGGGCAGTATGGGTCAGCGCGGGGTTGTCCAGCTTCACTGCTGTGGTTCTGTTGGCTCTGGCTCTGGCTGGTCAGAGTTAGACCGTTTTTCTGGGGACTGAAGGTGGGTCCTAAAGCGGGCATGGTCAGACTTCCCTGGCCGCTCTAACATGACCACCCAACATTTCCTACAAATCCCCCCTGCCTCACATGGTGAGCTCTAAAACCTAATCAGTGCCTGGTGTGCTGCTCTGCTGGCCTTCTGGCCTCCATCTGGACACCTGTAGACCACATAGGTCTGTCTGTTGTTTAGTGCTGTGCTCCACTTCACTTTACCAGGTTTTCCTATCCGGACAGCGGGAGCTCTAAATGTGTCTTATTGCTTGACTTGAGATAAGAAAGCAGAGATATGGTGCTGGACATTAACACGTGGCTCTCTCTGACCAGAAGAAACTGTATTCAGGGTTCAGCTTCCATTCAAAGGCAGCAGCGCGGTGTCCGACCACCCTCCTGCCTGCCCCTCTGGTTCCAGTCCACAAAGCCACCATCTCCATCCCTTAACTGGCTGGGCTCCCTAACAAAGACCAGACCCTGAAGAGGTCTCTTCCATCTCACACAGTTCTGGTCTGGTATTCAGATAATGGTCACTTCAATGATTCTGTGGGAAACTGGGAGCTAAACTGGACCCTCAGGCTCCTGTTGGGTCTGAGTCCTGCTGGACTGACT